GGAGAAGATGGTGTTGAATTTCTAGAATCACACCATGCAGGCTTCCCAGATGGCTCAGCAGTAAAGGATCCACCTGCCAATGTGAAATCATACCATTCAGAGGATGGAGTGGATGGACCCACCCCGCTAGCCTGATGGTGGAGGGAGCAACAGCAGTGGGTGCTTGCTTCTCCTGCATCACATCACAGCGTGCTGTTCCAAAAGGAATGACGTAAAGCATCTAGAACATTCATTCATTCTTTCAAAAGATATTTGGGGACTTCCCTGGCAGTCTTGCAGTTTAGACTTCACCTTCCAATGCAGAAGGTACAGGTTCCATCCCTGGTCGAGGAGCTAATATCCTGCATGCCTCTTAGCCAAATAAATAAATAAATAAAACAGGAGCAAAAAATTGTGACAAATTCAACTTTTAAAATGATCCACATCAAAAAAAATCTTAAAAAAAAGCAAGTTATTTGATTGAGTTCCACTGATGTGCCAGGTACTATCCAGGTGCTAGTAATACTGCAGCAAACCAAACTGACAAAAATCCCCTCCCTCCTGGAGCTCACAACTCTAGAAATACCAATAGAACATATTTGTTAATATGAAGCAAACTATGCGAAGAGTAAACAGAACTTGTGGTTCTGTTTCTTCAATGATACTGTAAAAAAAGAATTCAGAATTTTAGATAAGATGGGCACTAATAAGAGCTCATAGGTAAATCTATTGCTACCAGGTCACTTAGAGCCCAGCACCTGCCTTTCTCTATCAGGCATACTTTTCCCTGGAAAAACTGACCTAAGAGTAGATCTACCTTCCTATATAAGCTGGGCAATTTTTTACCCCCTTTATAACCATTTCTTTGAGTGAGCCTCAGTTTCCTCCTCTGTAAAATAAAATTATGACCAGGGATCACACAGAAGTTTAACTGGGATAATCTTTAAGGAAGCACTTGGTACCGTGATTAGCATTGGATATGCAAAAAAATTAATTCCTACCAGGTGGCACTACCACAGATATTAATCCAGTTGCCCTTTTTTAAAAAAACTTTATTGGAGTATAGTTGTGTTAGTTACAGCGTACAGAAAAGTGACTCAGTTGTGTGTGTCCATATATCCCATCGTTTTGGATTTCCTTCCCATTTAGGTCCACCACAGAGAACTGAGTAGAATTGTCTATGCTATACAGTAAGATCTCACTAGTTATCTATTTCATATATCGCTCTCACTCAGTCGCTTCAGTCATGTCCTACTCTTTACAACCCTGTGGACTGTAGCCCAACAGGTTCCTCTGTCCGTGAGATTCTTCAGGCAAGAATGCTGGAGTGGGTTGCCATGCCCTCCTCCAGGGGATCTTCCTGACCCAGGGATTGAACCTGAGTCTTCTTCGTCTCCTGCATTGCAGGGGAATTCTTTACTGCTGAGCCACCAGGGAAGCCCCATTTTATACACAGTAGAGTATTTATGTCAATCCCAATCTCCCAATTCATCCCGCTCTGCTTTCCCCCTTGATGTCCATACATTTGTCCTCTGCGTCCGTGTCTCTATTTCTGCTTTGCAAATAGGTTCATCTATACCATTTTCCTAGATTCTACATATATGCATTAATATTCATATACGATATTTATTTTTCTCTTTCTGACTTCCTTCAGTCTGTATCACAGTCTGTAAAACATACAGATGGCCAAGAGGTAGGTGAAAAGATGCTCAACTTCACTAATTATTAGAGAAGTGCAAATCAAAACTACAGTGAGGTGTCACCTTGTACCAATCAGAATGACCATCATCAAGAAACCTACAAATAATAAAGGCTGGAGAGAGTGTAGAGAAAAGGGAACCCTCTTACACTGTTGATAGGAACATAAATTGATGCAGCTACTGTAGAGAACAGTATGGAGGTTCTAGTTGCTCTTTTAATCCACAATCCTCCTGCCCCTTCCTTCCCCGGGATCTCTTCCACTTCCCCACCTGACAAGTGCTGCTTGGGGGGGAGGTCGCCAGACCATAAAGAGCTGTTCTCTAAACCCTGAGAGGGAAGGGAGGTGGGGCTATATCTTCTATAAATAAAAAAGATGCTTTTTTATTTTATCCTAACTTTGTGGCTGACCCCAAACTGGAGTGAGAGCTGGTCTATTAGCACAGTCCAAAAGGCTCTGAGCCGGCAGAGGTGGACGAGAAGAGGCGTGAAATGGATCCAGGATCACGCACTGCAGCTGCCTGTGGGATCCCTTCCACACGCCCCTCTCTGCGGACCCAGCCTCACCTCCAGGCGAAGCCGTGAAGCCCCCAGAGGCTTCAGGCCTGGCCTTGCCTCTTGGCCTTTGGTCTACGGGCATCCTCGCCACCTCACCTTGACCTCCTGGAGCCATCAGCCCTTACTCATGCCCATTCACCCGAGGTCATCACCATCAGAGAACTCCAGTCCCAGAATCTTCCTCCACTGTAGCTGGAGGAAAATCAGTCCCCCACGTTCCTGACAATAAGCCACGGTACTGCAGGACCCCAAGTGCCTTTTAAACCACCGAAAGTGTCAAATGCTTACAGTGGAACTATCCCATAATATGTACTTTACTAAATTTCTAGTCTCTGAAAACTGATGATTTGTGTATAATATGTCTTGGCACCAGTCCCAAATTTTCTTAACACAACCTTCCAAATTCTCTACAAAATGCTCTCAAACTACCCTCTGGGCTTATCGCCTCCCAGAGTCCCCTGTCCCTCCTGCTCCCTCCTGCCAGGACCCCTCCACCCTCAGGGAATCCGCTGATTGTAAGTTCTTCCGGGACCTATGACCATATCAGTGCCACGGGCTCTGAGAAGCCTCGCCGTGGTCTTTGCACCCAGCAGTCACCTTGGGCTCTTGGCTCCAAAAGAGCACAGAGCCTGGGAGAGAAAAGGCCATGAGCCCTTCTTCTCTACAGCTATTTGGACAACCCTCCACCCTGACCCCACCTCCTCTGCCTCTGGCTGGTGAAGGCCCTCTCTTCACCTCCTGGGTGGGAGGAAATCTAGGGGTCCCACAGGCAGACAGGTTCTAAGTGTGGTCTTGGTGGAGTTTCCCTCTCGCCAACCTGATTGCTGTTCAGTCGCTCAGTCATGTCAGGCTCTTCACAACCCCATGGGCTGCAGCACACCAGGCTTCCCTGCCCTCCACCATCTCCCCGAGTTTGCTCAAACTCATGTCATTGAATCAGCGATGCCATCCAACCATCTCATCCTCTGTCATCCTCCTTCTCCTGCCCTCAGTCTTTCCCAGCATCAGGGTCTTTTCCAACGAGCAGTCCAGAGAGATTCAGTCCTCTCCCCTCTGTGGTTAAAACAATTCCTACAGATGATAAATCATAAAAGGCAGTAAAAGGGCATACACTGTCAGAGTCGGGCATGGACTAGGGTCCATGGAAAGTGGAAAAGTGGAAGAGGTGGAAAGTGTGGAAGGAATCCTTTGGCTGTTGGCGGGCTCTGCTGGGCCAAAGCACCCTCCGGCCAATGTCCCTCAAGCATCAGGGCTCATCTTTCCGAGCATGGCTCAGACCCACCCGACTCGGGATTGTGCAGGGCAGACATGGAGACAGGACTGAGACGAGCCCATTTGCTTCTGATTGGTAAAGGGTGGGGTGTCTTGTGCCTCACCATTCAGACATTCTCCGCGGTGCTATTTTTATCAACAGTAATCATTAAATTGGTGTCAGATGGGCTGGTCCAGTGCCTCACCCCAGGGCTGGATGATGGAACGCAGCGGGTTTTTTCTAGGCTAAAGGAGATGTGGCACGTGGTCCATATGAATACACCTCTCTTGTACCCCAAGGGAGCCCCTCTAGCCCGGGACCTAGTTCCCATGGCAATGAGAGCAAGGTTCTGCATCACTCCTGGTTCATGCCTGACCTGATTCATTTAACAGACATATGTTGTATACCTTCTAAATGCCAGACATTGAACAAGACACTGGGGACTCACGAAACATATTATCTCTTCCTCCTGAGAGACGTGCATTGCACGAGAAAGTCCTGTCACGTGGGGTGGCAGTGTCTGCTGGGCTGCGCAGGTCACAGACGCACTGCTAGAAACAGCAGAGGGAGGATTTGTTTAGTCTGGGGCTCACGGCAAGCTCCACGGAGGTGGCGGCACGCAGCCAGGGCTTCAAAGATAGAGTTAAGTGGATGAAAATACACCAAAGGGAACCACAGGCAGAAAGCGACTCCATAGATTCATCCAAAATCCAGCTGTGCAAGCAGCCCTCACCATGGGGCCCCACACCTGCCTGGAGCCTCACCCTGAGAGGCTGCGAGGAAGAGGCCTCAGGGCAGGAATGCCCTCTGCTCACTCCCAGGGTCCTGGCTGTTCTGACTCTGTTTTCAGAGTCTGGCCCCACCAAGCAGGGCCCAGCCACCCCGCTCGGCTGGTAGTGGCTCCAGGGACCCAGGAGATTGAAGTTAGTTGTGAAAGAGGAACTTCCACCGCCGTCCACCCGTGGGTCTTGTGATTGAGAACCTCACTCTGGAGTGAGAACTGGGGTCCCTCGCTAGACCCAGGAAACAAGAATGGGTTCTTCCATGGAAGCTCAGGGCAGAATTTTCTAGATTCTAAGTCTTTCAGTTGGGACCATACTTCTTTTAAGTGGATGCCTGAAAATTCAGGGTGAAATTTAACAGAAAACCCAAATGGGGCAGAACAGGAGAATGGGGAGAAATGTGGCCCCGAATGATGGCCAAAAGTGCTTTGGCAGATGTCCCCAGCCATCCAAGGCTTGGGGCTCTGGTTTTCATTTCCTCTGACCAGACATTCCAGACTCCGCCCCACAAGAGTCACGAGGAGGCCCCAGCTCAGGCCCCGCAGGTCACAGCGGGTGTCCCTGGAAGGGCCGCCTCCTTGGGTGGCAGTGGCCAGCTGGAAGGGCCTGGGGCCTGGCCTGGGGCCACCTCCTGGTCAGGAGCCTCTCTGCTGAGTTCTGACTAAAGTGACAACCGAATTAATGGGACCGCCATGCCGTCACTGAGACCATTTCCCTGTGTCTCCAAACAGGGATGAGAGAGGAAATGTCGTTGGGACGCCAGGAGGCTTTTGAGATTTTCAAGAGGGACCATGCTGACAGCGTTACCATCGAAGACAACAAACAGATTCTGAAGCAGAGGTAAGGCCGCCGCGGAGAGCAGCTGGTCCTCCAAGGCTTCGCCGGGCCAGCCTCCAGAAAACTTGCTGCTCTGCCCTCTCTCATCCGCCCAGTCTGGTTTCTGAGCGAAGGGCCCAGGGTATATGCAGCTTCACGTTGGTTGAGTTGCGTTCAGCCTGGTACCCTTCTCTTCCATGTGTTAAGCCTCATTATCCCAGTACAGTGGGTCATCAGCAACGTCAGAACAGGGGCTGTATACAACAGCACTTTGCATACAGTTCTTTCATCTGACATTAATTCCCAGCAGCCTGGGACTCTATCGCTATTTCACTGCTGCAAAGGCAAGGGGGAACAAAAGTGCTTACAGTCCAAATGGAGAAGGAAATGGTAACCCATTCCAGTATTGTTGCCTGGAAAATCCCATGGACAGTGGAGCCTGGTGGGCTGTATAGTCCTTGGGGTCACAAAAGAGTCAGACATGACTCAGTGACTAAACAACACAGACCAAACGCCACATCTTAGAACTCCAGGCCCTCCAGCGGCTCTGGAGAGCTGCCCTGTACTTCTTGGTCACAGGACGTGTATACACACGCATGTCCTGTGACCCAGACACCTCTGATATGTTCTCCTGGCCAGAAGGAGAACAGGCAGCACCATTTGTTGACAGGTTGTCCAGCAAAGCCTGTGCTCTGGACTCTTTAGAAAAAGCCTAGAGGTGCATCATTTGTTGCAGCTAATGCCTAAATTCAGCACATGTCCTCAAGCTCCAAACAGAGTTTGCAAACAGAAAACACCACTGGACGTGTGGGCCTAGAGTTTAAAAGAAAGGGTTCTAGACTGCGAACTCTCAGACGTCATGTGTGACTCCGCATCACAGCCCACAGAACATTTTCAAAAAGTATTTGTTGAATTAAAATGAGCCCCAGGTTTGAGAATCATATGTTTATAAATGCTTCAAGGAAGTGTGAGAAGGTGACAAGCTCTCTCAAGGAAAAAGGCTGAAGTACAAGGGCCTGGAGGGTAGAAACTTAGGGGAAGCTTTCAAGAAAGAAGGGGAGGGAGCTGAGAAGAGAGCAGAACCACCAGGAAAGACCAGCCGGAAAGCCAAGAGGGGAGATGGCTCCCAGGAGCAAGTTGTCAGTGGCGTCAGATGCTACAAACAAACAGGCAGGAGGGACTTCCCTGGTGGTCCAGTGGTTAAGACTGCTTTCCAATGCAGGGGGTGCAGGTTCAATCCCTAGTCAGGTAACTAAGATCCCATATGCCACAAGTGTTAGTCACTTAGTCACATCCAACTCTTTGTGACTCCATGGACTGTAGCCCACCAGGCTCTCCCTGGGATTTCCCAGCAAGAATACTAGAGTGAGTTGCTGTTCCTTTCTCCCGGGTATCTTCCCAACCCAAGGATCGAACCCAGGTGTCCTACATGGCGGGCAGATTCTTTACCATCTGAGCCACCAGGGAAGCCACAAGGTACAGCCAAAAAATTTTTTAATATAATTATATTTTAATTGAAGAGTAATTGCTTTACAGAGTTTTGTTGGTTTCTGCCAAACCTCAGCATGAATCAGCCGTAGGTACACATACGCCCCCTCCCTTTTGAACCTCCCTCCCATCTCCCTCCCCACCCCACCCCTCTGGGTTGATACAAAGCCCCTCTTTGAGTTTCCTGGACCACACAGCAAATTCCCCTTGGCTATCTATTTTACATATGGTGCTGTGAGTTTCCAAGTTACTGTCTCCATACATCCCACCCTCTCTCCCCCTCTTCTGTTCTCTATGTCTGTTTCTCCATTGCTGCCCTGCAAATGAGTTCTTTGGTACCAAAAATTCGAAAAAGAGATCAAATAAATAAAGCTTGTTTTCAAAAACTTAAAAAGTAATAAGCTGGAGGCAGCAGAAAGAAGTGCCCCGGGGGAGTTGGCAGCTGAAAGGGCTGGAACTGGGTTCAAGGAGGGAAGGAGCAGCTGAGAAGGACCTGAGCAAATGAGGGAGGGCCCGCATCGTGCTCAGAGAGCCGAGAGGAGCAAGACTTCTGCGGAAGGGAAACGGGAAGTAGCCTGAGGAGAACAGAGGTTTGTTTCCGGCGGGAGGACTGGTCAAGCCTGTAGGCCACAGGCAGAGGCAAGCTATGGGGGGGAACAAGGGGGGACAAACAGGGCGGGAAAATGGGGAACAGAACAAGGGAAAGGCTGACCCAGCAAGGCTCTAGGGAGCCGGGTAGTGGGGACCCTGGCGGGGGGGTGGCCTGGAAGGAAGGCGGAATAGAGAAACACAGCAAGATGGACTGGCGCTGATGCATTTAGAAGCAGAGGGGGCGCCTTAAAGATGGCCTCTGTTTTGTCTGTGAAAAAAGAAGTTGAAGCAGGACAAGAGATTGAGGATTGTGGTGAAGGTTCAGTAGGTACAGCTGCCGCAGGCAACAGGAAAGAAGGCAGAGCCGGGAAAAGGAAAAGAGAAGGCCCGCAGCACTGACGGCCCAGCCCAGCCATTAGCCGATGGTGTTTACACTCGGGGGCGTGCATCCCAGATCACTAGAGGAATCCAGTGAAGGCTGGAGCAGCCCTCCTAACCAAGGAGGGTCTCCACCACTGTGACCCAGCAGTTCCCCTTCTGGGTTTACAGCCAGCGCGTCTCAGTACCTGCAGGGATGAGTTTCAGAACACCCCCCCCACCCCGATACCCAGGGCTTCCCCAGTGGCTCAGATGGTAAAGAAGCTGCCTGCTTTGCGGGAGACCGAGGTTCGATCCCTGGGTGGGGAAGATCTCCTAGAGAAGGGAATGGCAAGCCACTTCAGTATTCTTGCCTGGAGAATCCCATGGACAGAGGAGCCTGGCGGGCTACAGTCTATGGGGTCACAAAGAGTCAAACATGACTGAGCGACTAAGCATGCATGCTCAGATACCAAAATTCACATGTGCTCAAGTCCCTTAGGTAGAATGAGTAGTGCAATTGGCCCCCAAACCCACAAGTTCCCCCCACGGATCCAGAGGGCCAACTGTAGCTCCCAAGAAGTTCTCCCAGCTTCAGAAGGGGCCATAGAGAAGATGTGCACAGCAGCTCTGCTTGTGGTTGAGGAGGGCTGGAAACCCCAGGGGCGTCCGTCACTGGGGAAGTGGAGAGGTAGAAAGCTGGGGGTGCTCTGTGCAGGGCACTGTTGGGGAATCAGGTGTGGCAGGCAGCAGTGGATTACTGAGCACATGCCAACAGGACAACACTAAATAAGAGCACAGTCTCTGTAAATTATAAATGAGTTCAGTTCAGTCTCTCAGTCGTGTCCGACTCTTTGCGACCCCATGAATCTACTTTCATCAAGAGGCTTTTTAGTTCCTCTTCACTTTCTGCCATAAGGGTGGTATCATCTGCATGTCTGAGGTTATTGATATTTCTCTGCACACAAAATAAACAAAAAACACAAAACAAAAAAGTATACTTCAGCCTATCTTACAGGTAAGGATGGCTCCCTCCGCAGAGAGCAGAACAGGAGGCCGACGTTGCGTGTGAGTGACAGATGGATAAAACAAGGAGTAGGGAGAAGGTGGGCTTCCCTGGCAGCTCAGATGGTAAAGAATCTGCCTGCAACATGGGAAACCTGGGTTCCATCTCTGGGTCAGAAAGATCCCCTGGAGAAGGGAATGGCTACCCACTCCAGTATTCTTGTGTGGAGAATCCCATGAACAGAGGAGCCTGGTGGGCTACCGTCCATGGGGTCACAGAGTCCAACACGACTGAGCAACTAGCACTCATGCAGGGAGAAAATAAACTGAGTCTAATGAAAGTTGAGGACTCTGTTTCCAGGAAAATGGAATATGCATACCTACACAAACTTGAGCCTGTGAATCCAGGGGGTTTCACACACCTTCCGAACCTCTCCCTGGGGCAGGCCGTGTATTTTCAGCTGGGCGTGTTGGAGCAGGACACCTTGTTTGTCTGGAGACACACACATCAGGCTGAAGGACAGCTGCCTCGTCCAGTGACTTCACTGGAGCTCTCAGCTATGTCCGCACCTGGGGCTTCAGGGCTCATGCCAGTGACCTCGTAACCCTGGCTTCATAGTAAACTGACCCGTGGAGCTTATACAAACCACCAGAACCTAGGCCTGACTCCCCGGATGTTCTCACTGAATTAGGTAGAGCCCGAGCATCCGTTTGTTTCAGGATTCCAACATGCCACCAGGTTTGAAAACCACTGGCCAGACAGAGAGCTTGTCCAGAGACCTTGAGAAAGAACATAATATGTCATCTCTCTTGTTCTAGAATTGGTGTGGCTCCTGGATCAGGCTTGTACTCTTGAGCTTAGGTCTCTTTCCAGCATGAGATGGGTTTGGGGGCTGTTGGCAGAGATGAGGATGTGTGGGCTTCCAGCACAGAGTTCACTGACTCTGGGACAGCAGAGTTTTTTTTTTAATTGCTGTTCCCTAACTCTACTTCTAATAGACTTCCTCTTAGAAAGCCTTACCTTCTGATTATCCTCAGCCAGCAGAACCCACGGGCCTGGGCTCTCCCATTTTGTTCACTACTTCTCTTATCAAGTTACTCTGCCAACCCATAGCTCTAGTGCTGCACCATTGTGCTGGAAAAGTTTAGAAAAGAAGGGCCTAGGACCACTACCACCGCCCCCCAACGACACAAGCCTTGGTCCAGCTCAGCCTCGTTAACCAATGGCAAGTAGCTTCTAAGCCCAAATACAAGGACTCTTGATGACTCGAATTCCCTCAGCTCCCCCAGAGTGCGGGAGTTGATGCCGAGTTGCAGGAGTGGCTCAGACATCAGTCGTTTAGTAGGAGGGATCTCTACCCCTTCTTGCCAGCACGCCTCAGCTCTGCCCCCAGCCTGGGGAAAGTTGTCCTGCCTGCCTGTGACAACAGAAACAAGATGTTGGCACATTAATAGGATATCTGCCCTCCAGTAAACTGGAGCACATGAGCCAATTCTTAAGCCGGATTTTTCAATAGGAGACAATTCAGATAGAAATGCAGTTGAACATCACTACATTTTCCAGGCATGACTCATCCTCACGGTATATAATAGCATGAAGGGAGGCTGGAAGCCCCACGCTTGGCTACCTGCAGTGCCCAGGCACCACATAGCTGACTTTGTTTTGTGACAGGTCCCTCATACAAACGGAATCCCCTGTCACAGGGTCCTATTCAGTAACAAAAGAGTAAATCAATGGGGAGGCCAGCCACAGCTGGAAATGAAGGCGTTGATAATGTGAACGAAACCAAGAAAAGCACCCCGCCCCCGACTCAGTTGAATCCTTTAGATAGAGACTAGAACAACAATATCACACCAGCAGGAAACCTGGACCAAGAGCATCGACAAATCTAACACCATCATCTGGAAATAAAGTCCACCCCAAATAGGAGTTCCCTGGTTCCTATTAGACTTCAGTTTTAACCTTTTATTATTTTTCCATTTGCTTTTTGTATTTACACCTTGTCTCCTGAACTAGAATTATGAACTCTGAGAGCAAAGGTTAGATTAGAATCTTCTCAGCCTCCCCACAGTTTTTTTAAAACACGGTAGCCATAAAAATGGTACTCAAAAAGACTGTTCTGTTTTTGTTTTTGTTTTTCTTTGGCTTGAGAATGACAATTTGAGATTGACTTTGAGAAATCTTAGCAGCCCAGAAAGCCCCCTGAGAACTGCTTCCTAGAAGCAGTGAATGTAGCAGCAGCTTCCTGAGTCGCGGAGGAACCCCTTGGAGGGTGACAAGAGGGCAGCCATCTTGACGGGGAAAGGGGACATGATAGAAAGCAATTTTAGTATTTTAAAAAGTGTAATAGAAATGAAAGTTGGATCTTCATCACAACATAACAGAGGCAGCCAAGGTATCATATCAGGAATGAGTCAACAGGGAAAGGAAGGGCATAGACACAGACCCAGTCTTTCTGATGGGAAAGCGCATCGGACGTTCACTCCATGAATAATCAACACATGATGTTAATCACCCTAGACTAGAAGACAAAGACTGAAATGTGGGAAATAGCCCAAAGGCAGGCAGCATGAATGCAGGGAGCCGGGCAAGCTGCGGTGAAGTGGTATGGGGGAGAGATGACAGCGGCCGCTCAGGGCGGGTGGCGCAGGGTGAAGCTCAGTGGGATGTCAGGGTAGGTGCTGAGGACAGAGAGGGGGCAAGGCTCCAAGGCTGAGTGAAGGGGCTGGTGGAGAGAAGGGCAAAGGCTGGTGTGGTGTGCAGGTTAGTGGCATGAGCCCCTGGGAGAAAGGCAAGGTCTTCAGGGAAGGTCTTCAGCCCTGCTCTGGATCCCATGGGTTTTAGTTATCTTCAGGGCATCAAATAGAAAATAAAGCAGGACTGAGATCTGGGAGGTGACCAAAGAGGTGGCCAATGAAGGCACTGGCCTGAGTGGAGTGCCTAGAGAGCGGGTGTTGTGAGGAGAGGGTCTAGGACTAAACCCTGACCACTGAAGAAAATGAAGGTGTTGGTCACTCAGTCGTGTCCAACTCTGTGACCCCATGGACTGTGGTCCACCAGGCTCCTCTGTCCGTGGAATTCTCCAAGCAAGCATACTGGAGTGGGTAGCCATTCTCTTCTCCAGGGGATCTTCCCGACCCGGGGCTTGAACCCAGGTCTCCTTCATTGCTGGCAGATTCTTTACCATCTGAGCCACCAGGGAAGCCCAAATCCTGACCACTACCAGCATCTAAGGAACAGATTGCAGAAGAGAAGTCTGAAAAAGAGTCTGAGAAGCCAAAGTCAGGGAGAGAGGGGGCAAAAAAACAGGGAGATACATGATGTAACGTGGAAGCCAATGGAAGAGAATTGCTTTCACTCTGCGGTTCTCTCAAGGTAGATGAATTCTCTCGTCTAGAACTCAGGCTGGGGCAGGAAGAAGGTGAGGGGGTGGCTCCGAGGGAGCTGGGCTGGGGGGTGTGGAGATGCAGGAGGAACAGGGCAGGAATGCAGAGCCACGTCTCATGTCTCATCCTCTCATCGCTGTCGACTCCCCTCCTTCTCCTTCAGGGCTGGGCTTCCTCAGGCAAGAGTCTGTCCTGACAGCCCAGGAGCAGGAAAGCATGTGGGTGGGGTGGCCTGGGGTGGCGACAGCTGCAGCGAAGGGAAAACAGTCTCTCGGAGACGGTTCAGCCCTCAGCCCACACCTCTCCAGTGGGAAAGCCCTTTTTAGCTCGGCTCTGGGCTGCAAAGAGCCTGGAACTTCAGCCTACGACTTCCCAGCCATGTCTGCCAGCCCGGCGTGGGGCGGCTCTTTGAAGACGGTTGACCACAGCACTCAGCAGCTCCTCGCCACGGGCCCCACACCCCGACACGTGTAGGCGACCGCCAGGGAAGGGAGGGGCTCCCTTCCATGCCTGTGGGGGCTCCTCTGCGGAGATGGCCCTGTCTGCCCTCAGGACCTTCCCTTCTCCAGCTCTGCCCTGGTTTCCTCCAGCCCTGATATAAATCTCAGCGGCTTTGCAGCCTTGCTCCTGTCATTTCCTCATTCCCAAGAATCTCACGCTTCTAGAACTCTGTGGAACAGGCCGTCAGAGGCGTCATTCACTGCGCTGTGGAGGACCATCAAACCCATGAAACCACAGGTGCTGAGGATGGACATGGCACCTACCAACAGTCAGAGCCCCCCGCCCCCCGCCATCTCCACATGGCAGAGCTTAAAGGATGAAGATAGTCCTCGTTTGAGTGGCCCAGACAAGGTCTCAGTCTACCTGCGCAGGGGCAGAGGCCAGAGTGAGCCCCCAGCGCCCAGCACAGTGACCCGCCCATGTTGTGAATGTTTGCTGAGCTGAGTTCAGTCTGCATGGCCTCCAGTGGGCTTGTACTCATCTCCAGAAGCTGACAAGCCCGAGCTGCAGAAGGGACATATGTCGTCTGGGATGAGCCTGAACACCGTTAATAAGGAGCCAGGGTAGGGAGTCCCGAGAAACCTAACGCTGGGAGAAAACTTAGTCCCTTTCCCTGGAAACTTCTGTCCGCAGCCTCCGGCCAAGCAGACACAGTCGGAAAATAGCAGTGACGTAATTCACGCCTCTTTCCCAGCCAGCCCAGGGCATCCTGGGCCCTCTGGACTTCACTTCTGGTCTTCCCGTACCTGGGAGCCCTCTTCTCCCCACGTCCTCTAGCAAAATCCCGCAGGACTGAGTGCTTATGGATGAAGCAGTAGCACGTCTGGGATTTACTGGGATCCAGAAAGATTTGCGGGTGGAGCAATAACATTTCCTAAGGGCCCACTGTGTGTAGGCCTAGACTGCATGGTTTTCGTAGAGGTCGTTTATTTCTACACTTGTCCAGCATAAGACTGGGCTCTCAGGGGGCTTCTCAAGAATACCTGTTGGAAAATAGAGAGGAATCATTAAGTAAAGGTCAACACAGCATCTGGGGGACTAGTAGGCAGCCGTCTAAAGATAGTGGAGAAGTTTCTAAGAACATAGGGAAGGACTCACAGTGCTAAATGAAAAAAAACCAAAGCACAAAATCATATATATATATATATGATCTTAACTCTGTAACAGCTGGCTAGAAACAAGACTAGATCTCAGAATAGGTCTATTTCTGGGTAGGGAATATTGAGGCTTTTATTTTTTTTCTTGCTTTGATAGTTCCAAAATGTGGTTTAACATCATCTATAACAAAAGTAAACAAACTTTTTCCTGGAAAAAGCCAGAGAGTAAATATTTTCAGCTCTTCAGGCTCCATAGTCTCCGTCACAGCCCCTTGACTGCCTTTGCAGTGTGAGAGCAGCCTTAGACAGTAAACCAAGGAATCCATGTGGCTGCGTCCCATTCAACTTGATTTATAGAAACTGATGATGGCGTGAATCTGCCTCATGACCAGCCATGGTTTACCAGTCAGAAAAAAAAAATTATCAGGAAAAAAAAAAGTTCTTTAAGTATTCTTTGACTCTAAGATCCTGGTACTGTGATTGATAGAACACTATACATAAGGCATACAGCTCTGCTTTACTCTGGGTTCCTTGTATCATAAAACATTAGAAATCAAAAGTCGTAAATTAGAGATTATGAGAAGGAAGTTCTACACTGAAGAGATGAGTAAAAATTCATGACACCAGTAATTAATACAAATTTTATCTCTGCTCTTAAGCCAAATATATTTCATTCATTTAAATTGTCTTTTTATGTCCCTTTCCATTAAGTTTTATAACAGAGACTTCTCAGAAATCTCTTATTTTTAAAACATAATTTAAGATGAACAGAAAAGGTTAAACTCTCATTTCTTCTTTTTTTCTTCCCCCCGTCCAGATTTTCTGAAGCGAAGGCCCTGGGAGAAAGCATAAATGAAGCAAGAAGTAAAATTGGTAAGCAGATGACACTCTGTGAGCCTCTTTCACAGGCCATTTTCCTGGTGAAAATCAGGTCATGATGTGCTTCCAAACAGCCATGAGGACCAGTTTCAGGAGGTCCCTGCCAAGGAGGCTGCTTTGAGAGCACCTCTCCTTGGGAGTTTGTCATCTCTCGCACCATCTATCAGGGAAATCACTTTCTTTTGTCCAGAACTTGAATTGTTCATCCTCATACAGGCCTGAGTTTGAGCATCCCAATGAGCAAGTTTTGTTTGTCCCTGGTGTTTTCCAGCAATAGCTCAACTGGTCATAACTGTACTATTGCAGTGACATTTCACATTTTTAAGGCCTGTGGAACACTTTCACACCTCCCAGAGTTTATACTTATCGTTTTTGGCCCAGGTGTGCATTTTTCAGCACCATTTCATCTCCTTTCATAACTAGGAGAATGAGAGGCAAAAATGAGGCACTCTGCCCTCCCAGGACCTGGGCTGCCCAACAGGGCTCCCCCACTTAGGTGAGCATTCCTGGAAAAGTGAGGTTAAGGCAAGAGGCAAATTCAGTAATACTGTGCCTCAGATCTTTGTCAAAGTGAGAGGAAGACACTTCTTTCACCTGAAGCTAAAAGACACACAGAGACCCATCTCCCAGCCTGGACAGCGTCACCAAGGGGGTCCCTTGTGGCTTCGTCTCTGTGCTAGCTAAGGCAGGAGTTACCTTTTACAGCTGACTCCTGTGTCCCCCTCGTCCCAACCTCTCTTCTCTCATACGTGAGGATAGGGCTGAAGGCCACTGTGAACATCGCTTTTGGCTTTTCCTACAAAATACGGCAACTCACAATAGCCTGGGGTCATTTCAGTTAGGGAACCAGCTAGCCCTGCATTCTCTGCTGCTGCTGCTGCTGCTGCTAAGTCGCTTCAGTCGTGTCCAACTCTGTGCGCCCCCATAGACAGCAGCCCACCAGACTCCTCTGTACCTGGAATTCTCCAGGCAAGAGTGCTGGAGTGGGTTGCCATTTCCTTCTCAATGCATGAAAGTGAAAAGGGAAAGTGAAGTCGCTTCAGTCGTGTCCGACTCTGTTGGAGTGGGTTGCCATTGCCTTCTCCACCTGCATTAGCAGCAGGATTCTTTACCACTGTGTCACCGAGAAAGCCTTTATCATTTCTTAATTAATTGACTCTGTGCGACTCCATGGGCTGTAGCCTGCCAGGCTCCTCCGTCCATGGGATTTTCCAGGCAAGAGTACTGGAGTGGGGTGCCATTGCCTTCTCCACCTGCGTTCTCTACTGTGGCCTGAACACAGAACTGAGGCCGACAAGCCCCGAGCCATGCCCTGCACCAGGACAAGAATCTCCAGGGTCTCAGAGGTTCTTGACTTAAGGTCCAGCAACCTAGATGGAGGGAAAATGCACCTTTATTTTCACTAACCTCTAACTGCAGTTTAGCGCTCCATCTAATGATGAATGTCGGCAGCAGACCACAGTAGAAGTAGCAGCACCTGTCACAGTGGAAATTACCAACATTTTCATTTCACAGCACAGTTGGCAGACATTGTAAAATATCTCTTATACTCATCAGTGCTTCAAAATTACAGTAGTTATTAGACTCACCAGTAGACCTTGTCATTTAATGCACTTATATAAAAGCACATATAGCTATTTCTATACCACAAAACTTTTTAAAATCTTGGTAACTATTTCAATGTAATTGGTCTCTCTTAAAATCCTATGTAAAACTCCTTTCTTGGCCTGAATTCTCAAAACCCCTAAAACCATATGGGGAAAAAAAAAAAAAAACTGAGGGTCAGGAGCACTTTTCTAGAGATAACATTCATAGTTTATCTGACTCTCATAGAGATCAGTGACCCAAACCATTGATGAGGGAAGGGGAAGCAGGCCTGAGTGGATTCAGAGCTGGCTTGTCAGAGTCATCTGACTCAAGGACCTGATGGTCTGTTTTCATTCCTGGAGAGACAAGAGGGGAGGACACTGTATGAATCGTTTCTCCCCAAAAAATGACATAAAGTTTTGCCCTTGGCAAACATCTAACTCTCTAAACCAAATTAAAGCTGTTCCAACACTAATGACATATACAAACGGTGGAAGGCACCAATGGCCCATTCTGATCTACTTAGTGTTTCACTCTGAGTATAGTGAGTTGTTGTCACAAGTAATTCTAAATTCGCCATAATTTTGATGCAACAACACACGTTGATGGGTCCAATTTGCCATATTTCTTGAGATTAGGCAAATCAGAGGCTGTCCCACAGCTGCCCAGGCCAGGGATCTGAAGGCTGTAGTTGGTATTCCAGAGAATATGTCTGTAATTTACACACAAAAGGTCCAGATGTACTAGAGAAAGCCCTGGGCAAATAAACCTTTGTGCTTTCTGGATAATAATAAGCAGAGTTCATAGCAGTGTTAAAACTCAAACATTTATTGCTAATGAGAAAGTGGCTGGTAATTCAGTGGTGCTAATAAAACCAATGTCACTCTTAAGTCATTTTATGCAAATAGTAGCATTCAAACCCACGTCCTGGCCACCCATCTTTCAGATGTGCTCTTGATCCAAGGGGGGGCCAAGGTGAGTGGATCGTTGAGAATCAGCCCCCTTACGCAACAAGCCCCTGACAGTGCTTGACCACAGCGAGTGGCCCCCCTCACCACCACCACTGCATCTCAGACACAGGGTTAAGACTAAGGAAGTACAAGGTGGAACTTGTACACATATTTAAAGTTTTCCAAGGCAACCTTGAAGGAAACTGGTTTCAAGAGATTTACAGCATTCCTGAGTGCATTTTTCCTAGGGAGAAATTAAATCAAGTGGAATTTTCATCCTCCTACAAGTCCTTTAGTGAATCTAAGAGCCCGGAGGTGGGAGCGTAGCACGGATGTGCCATGACGTGAGTGGGGTGATGACTCAGCTCTGCTCCCAGGCTGAGCCACATCCTCCCTCCAGACCTTTGGACTGGAGTGAGAAGCTAGGGTCGCACGTGCAACTGGCCTGCCGAGGGGAAAGGGAAGCTCTGTCTGTGATCTACACACCAGCTAGCCACACGCTTCGATTGCAGGTTGCCACTGTCTTCTCGGGCAATTTGGTTTTTCTCTGATGTTGTGATCTAGAGCTGCCACTTGAATTTCATTGCTTTTTTTTAAAGAAATATATTATTTATTTTTAAATTTCTGGCTGCACCGGGGCTTCGTTGCCACGCATGGGCTATCCCGAGTTGTGGCAAGTGGGGGCTACTGTCTAGCTGTGGTGCTCAGGCTTCTCCTTCCAGCGGCTTCTCCTGTTGCAAAGCGTGGGCTCTAGAGCGCCCGGGCTTCAGTAGCCGCAGCTCCTGGGTTTAGTTGCCCTGCAGCCCGTGGGATCTTCGTTCTTGGACCAAGGACCGAATGTGTGGCCCCTGCATTGGCAGGCAGATTCTCAACCACTAGGCAACCAGGAAAGTCCCTGAATTTCATTCTTAAAAACCCCTAGAGGTTATTAGTTCAGGAGTGACCATATAATATGTAAATTTTACATGGCATAATCTTTCAACCAAAATTTCCATGCTATTTTCTTTTCTTATAACAAGCCAACCCAAACTGAGTAGATTCAACTCTTGCTGCAAACTCCTTTTTTGTCCTTCTCTGTACCCCATTTACATCAGTCCTGATGTTGAAACCAGTTGAAGTCAGAAATGGAAGAAATAACTAATTTCTTCAGGATCTTCTCCCCAAATAAGGAAGTCTTTGTTTTCGAAAGAAGAGCCATTTTCATTGCATTTGCCTGCCCCATACACAACAGCATTTAGGCCACTTTCCATCATAGGTTCCATCACATGTTCATATACACCCTGCCTCCATTCATCATATCTCTAAAAATGCCATTAAACCACAGGAAAAGAAAGAGATGGCTTCCAAAGCAGAGGCACAATCCAGGCCATTTTTCACTTATTAGAATCCTGGCGTGGGCTTCTCTACCTCTGGCAGCATTGTCTTTGGCATCAGAGAACAATGAGTGGCTGTTCCTTGGCATGAGGCCCACGCTCGCCCAGTCTGGGAACCAGCAGCTTCAGAGGCAGGTGAAATAGCCTGACTGACGCATCTTGGCACCTCTTCACCCTCCACAGACCCCTCCAGGCCTAACCGAAAACGCCCATCAGAGGATGTAGCACAGAAGGGTTTCCTCCAGGGATCCAATCAGTGATCACTTCAGAAATCACAGGAAATGTAACAGAAGTAGATGTCAGTGAGCAGGGAAGAAGAAAACCCAAATGCTAGAAAAGCTGACAGAACATTCTGGAAGTTTTCTCTCTCCTGCTTCACCTTTGAACAGGGACCGCTAGCCCGCCATTTGAACAGTACCCTTTAAAAAAGTGTTTCTCCTGCACTTCTGGGGCTTGGGAAGATCATTGCTCAGATGTGGGTCTCCATCAGCAGAGCACGTGGGACCATTTTTCCATTGTGCCTCTTCTGTACTTTCATCTTCTGAGGTTTACTTCTGGACCTGCCCTTGCATGTTGGCTTCTAATATCTCACCCTACATCCAGATTGTCTTGGGAGGCTATGAAGACCTCAGTCAAGTCTATTCTCTTGTTACTATTTGTCACCATCTCCAAATAACAGCCACACTCACTGCAGCTTCACTGAACACTGACTCTGGGCCGTGCCAAGAACTCAGCAAGTACGTTATCTCATTTAATCTCCACAGAGAAGAACCACAGTCTATACATGTGTCATAGATTCTAAAATACACAATTTTTACAGTCTTAACACCTCTGAAATCAGGAAACGTTTAACAATCCATTGGCTGTCTTTTCATTTTAAAAACCTCTTTAATGAGACCAGATCTTACAATTGATGTAGCCTAGATTCTCTGACATATCATATGATCATTATTTTGCAGATTTTTTTAAAAATGGAATTTCAGGGAAGTGGCCTGCTAAGTGGCCAGCCTGGGATCAAAGTCCATTCCAGTCCAACTCCAAAACTTTTAAATACAGTATATTATCTCCATAAATTCAGATTTAC